TGGTGGCGACGGAAGAACCGCCTTCGAAAGTGTTCATGTAAAACAGTGCGTCGTTCAAACGATTCATACCTGTCTGATCGAACATCGACGACAGTTCCTAGGAGAGAAAGAAAAGTGAGTGTGAAAGTGCTGCCAACACCTGAGGTTACGATGCATAATACCAGTAAGCACTGACAAATCATTTATAAGACGGGAACACAGCTAAAACCAGACAGGGGCAGCCGCGAAAGCTAATTTAGTAGGATTCTGTTTCTGTTCCCCTTTATTCGCCGCGTCGCAACCTGTAGACACTTTACTAACAGCCTAATAGCAGCTAATTTACCGACCATGGCGTTGCTGCGGCAAGCGGGGAGGGTAGCCACCTTACCAGGGAGGCATGCCAGGGCGAAGGAGTATGGCTTCGGAGCAACAGTTTCTTAGCAACAAAATCTTATAACGATTCGGCAACCTCTGCCAGAGCTCACAAAATTCCTTACAGTAGGCAGTTAAGTCCAAAAAAGGCGATTTACTATAAACCCTGATAAAAGGGACTGGTCATCAGGGTTTAAACGAACACTAGTGAAAGCTCGAGGAAATGTTCATGACGAACGAAGCATGAAAACTAATGGGCAACAAAGTTACGGTTTTGACGTTTTGACTGGGTGGTTGCTCTCAAAACAGGAAAAACCAACATCATTCGCAGGAGGTAAACGACCAACACCTTAAAAAAGCCCTCAACTTTGTCAAAACAGGAAAAACCAACATCATTCGCAGGAGGTAAACGACCAACACCTTAAAAAAGCCCTCAACTTCATGATTGTCTCTTCATGTCATCCTCCCTTTGAAATGAGGATGACAGTTGTTGTTATACAGCTGCAGATCAACTAATGGCTAACCTATGATCCGTAATGGATCTGAACAACAGCTCTTTCGGTGCAAACCAGGAAGCTAACTATGGCAATTACCTGCTAGTCTGACTTATTCATTCCTATAACACCATCTGAACAGATTTTGGGTAACCAGTAAATGTTCAAACGTTGCTTACATAAGGCGCCGAACTAAACTTGTTGGTGGTACGAATCTCTTTGGCGATCATGCGCAGCTTCTCGAAGTTCACCAGACCCTCTACCCAGGTCGGGTTGCACTCGTGGATGAATGTGAGATCTTTCTTTAGCACCGGAAACAGCGGAATGACCGGAGGGTCAAGCGCCGCCTCGGCCAAGTGCTGCCGGTACTTGGACATGTTCCGCGATGGGTCGAGCAGCACCTGCATGTCTTCCAACGCCTTCACCGACTTCGACGACACCTTCTCCCACGTGTTGTGCAGCCTTCGTACAGAAGGTTTGTCCAAACCGGAGATGATGGCGAACATGCTGTTAAAGTTCTTGAAATCCCGACAATGTTCTGAAAGTATAAATATTACAGCTGATGCCAAAGACTTCAGGTAAATGGTAATGCACAGGTTACTTAGCTGACCGTTGAACGACGGGAAAACTAAAGAAAAGTGAAACTTAAAGTTCGAAGATAAAAAAATGAAATAAATCTTATCACATCGAAAAAATAAGCAAACATCACTGCAAAAATCCAACCAACTCGTCAATGGCCAGAAGGAAGAATCAAAGACGTTTTTTTAATCGAATTTAATATTTTACTATACATCTATTCTGAAAGGGATAAAGACAGGCTGCCTTCTGGCTTGCATTTCCAGATGTTACCCGTTCAGTGAAAAGTATTCACTTGATTCGTCCAGCTCTGTTCTTCTTCCCTTGTTTTGTTGCATTTGTTACATTTTGTGGCATTAATATACTTCTTTGTCACAACTCTTTATAACTGTACCAGGTATAAAACAAAACATATCGCTATCGAACCGAATTGACCAACTGAGAATGGGCGTTGGATCAGAAAACAACCAAACAGAAATCGCTTCGGTCTCGCAGAATACTATCTTGAAAAAACGTGGCTTTGCATGTATCAGATACGCGGTATGCATTGCTGACTTGAGCTGAAAGCGAGAGCTTAGTTTTAATGACTTTTCAAATTCAGTCTATCAATCAATCATTCATTCATTTAGTGTTTACGGTAAAGAACAGATCTGTGAGCGGTACGTAATGACGGTAAAAATATTGCCAACATTTGAAAAAAGAGCTACAGCTTATTGAAATGAGAAAATTTAACGTAACGCAAGAAATGCTGGCTAACAATTTTTTAAACAACGGCTATGAACTTCTATTTCACTACTTGCTTCGTCCTGAAGGAAAGCATGTCCCAACTCATCTTCATAAATGCAACATTACTTCCTTTCTTTTTAAACTCCATGAACATTATCTTAGCGGCATCCAACGTTTATAGTAGGCAAAGCACAAGGATGTACCGTGCCTTATTTTTGAAAAAATGACAAATAACCCGGATGGGAACTGATTATAGCAACGCTTACTACACTGGTATGATTAAGGGATAACTCAAAACTCATCTGAAAAAATTTACTGGGATAACGAACGATGAAATCATTCCGCAATGGCTGAACGCACGATGGATTGCAGAGAAGCGAAATCTAGATCAACACATCCTAAGCAGTTTATTTCCAATATGTTAATAAATCAACTATGGTCAAATAAACTAGCAAAAATTTTCGCCTGGCTGAAATATACTGTTTACTTATGAATCGTAAAATTCATCCTCTTGCCCTTACCCTTTTCATTTGCCCTTTACACTTGTACCCTTGTCTTTTTCTTTTATTTTTTTCGATTTTCATACGTCATGAACCTACTGTCTACTGAGATGCAAGTTTCTCTCGCTGATAAAGGAATATGTTTCTAGGGTTCGTAAATCTACGCGTTAAGAAACTCAATAATCTACTTGTAATCCGCAATCTCAACGTCAATATGAAACGAATGTTGTTATATATTCAGACAGAAAGCGAACAAATGACAACACAACGGCTGTGCATCTTGATTTTCGAAATGTTTCAGGCTTTACTGTACTGGACCTACAAGTAAAGCTAGGTCCCCAATTGGTTAGTGTAAGTTCCTCAAAGTAGAAAGGCGGGAAGATTTTAATATGCTAAGAAGTTTCGTTGCGGCCACCAAACAGTACTTTGTAGACACCGATAGCAACAACAATCCGTACTTTACATTTGAAGGTAGCGGACGACCCGTTAGGCCGGTGGGTACCAATAAAGTAAACCACTTGTGAGAAGAGTTACTCCACATGCGCGAACGAGCATGAAACGGGGGATCGTAGAAAATACAATTAAGGTTCCAATCACTGGTAATATGCTGACTATATCAAGCACTAGCGGACAAGAATGAAATGAGCCTTTTTGAGTTTTAGCCAAAGCTGTTCCTTCCTAGAGGCTATGTGGCTGTTATTCCAAACGTCGTCTGTGATGAACAGCCTTGTGAATCACGAAGGATTTCCAGAGAGCAGATAAGACGGATGAATTTATCGTTCTACCGCGTAAACTCGGTAAAGTTTTGTTTAACTTCATCCTCTGTAACGAAACGCAGAGGATGTGGTCATTCATTCATCCCATTCAATTGGCGGGGGCGGGGACATCAGTCGACAGATTAGCAGAAGGATCACCCGTTCATTATACATCCAAACAAAAATGTCGCATCATCCGCAAATGCAACAAGTAAGGTTTTCGACCATACTTGCGATCTTGATGAACTTCTTGATTATCTTCGCGCGACGTATCAGATTCTTTTCCATCAAGATTTCCGTGGACACCCACCACATCTCGCGATTGACCAGCTCCTCGAACTGCGTCAGCTTCGGGTAGCCGTACTTCGACCGCAGACGGAACAAGTTATCGACGTATTCAGTCGGCTCTACGGCAGCGAATACCGCGTAGTCCTGTAACGTCAGCTGTGCCGCCAGGATCACCGAGCGCAGGTCAAGAAACTGAACATGCGAATCCTTCAGGATTTCAACCGCCTGATCGTCAGGGACCAGTGGCATGGTAGAGTTATTGTTTTTGAGATAATACCTAAACTTAAATAATTAAATTTACCAAAATTAATTAACCAGACAACTGCTGGCAACCAAGAGTACCTGCTGTTAAGGTTAATGCGCTCGGCCAGGTTTGGCATCTGATCTGGCAGCCTCTTTTGCTTGATCAAAAAATCTGGAGTGACCGACACCTCACAGAGACACCACTCAAGGCTGGAAGAATGCGCGTCGGTCATGCCAAATTCCTGCAACGCCAACTGTACCACGTTTTGAGCTGTCGTCTCCTAAACGATAAATTATAACGTGCAAAGATTCTATACAGAATATATTAGCAACAGTCGTTGTTATTCAACTTTAGTGAAAGTTCAAACTCTAATAGCATAAAAACCAGAAAATCTTCTTGACTCAGGCAAATCAAGGTAACCTCTGCACAACTCTTACTTGAAAACGTTATTTAACAGTGAAAACCGCAGCTCTATAGATCTTACTCAAGCAGGTCCGTAATTTCTACACCATTTTACACCAAAGTTTCAGAACTGGTCACAAGTACCGAATGAAAATATAGTTTAAAGTCAGTCCATTACAAATACCGGATGACGTGGAATAGTTCTTTTTTGAGAAACTCTTTTCAGGCAATCCAGCTGAAGCACTGAACAGAGTATATAAGACAAAGTGCAGCGATTGCAACAGATTTTACATAGATAGAGCATAATATTGAAACAAAGGAACGTCTGTCGGAAATCCGCAAATTTAATTCTGGACACTTGGGCACCGCATCTAATGTCGTTGATGAAGATAATGGCGTCGTTTAAACGAGTGTTCGAGCAACTGATAGGTACCATGATAAGGGCAGAAATAATATATTTCGGCATGAAAACACCCTAATAAACACTGAATTGCTCTTCGTCTCGAAAAGGCATCAGTAGGCTCTTCTGATAATGATTAAAGAAATGTTGGTTATAAGCTTGGAAAAAGCATATTTGATAACTGAAGCTTTAGGCACTCACAACTGTGTTCCTTCTTCATCATAAGTAAATAATGCTATTACAATTATTAATAACAATTAATTTATGACTTCGGAGAGCGTCACTTACAAATATATTTTTTTCAGGCTTATAACTGTATACTGTTCATCCTTTAGGACGCAATCAGTATTCTGCTATGAAACAGGCGACACACAACTCCCAATCAGGACTATGCTGATAATAATTTGCCACTGTGCCGAAATGCTGACTATTCTTTATTTATTCGGTTCTAGTCATATTACTGGTGTTGGTAACCAAATGGGTCGACTGTTAACTGAAACCTCTCTATCTCTGTCTTATTCCTGGGTTTCCTAACCATGTATCAAAAAACATTTCGATGATTGAGGTTTTCTGGATTAAAGGTCAGATCAGTTAATTATCTAACCTCTTATCGCAAATTGTCTCATTATCAATTAATCATTCATTCACAAAACCTTATGATCTAATCGAATACAGATCGGATATAATTTTAGAGTATGCGACGTCTGAAAATTAAAAAATTTATTTTGCCACCGTCGGTACATTGCAGTTTTGGGTTAGTGACGCTTGCTATAAATCGGTGATCCGAAATTGCCGCCCAATTTGTGGTGAAATCGTTCATTCTCCAGGAACCATTTATTTCGTTCGAAATACTGCGAATCACTGGAACAACTAGTCAGTAATTTTTTTCATTTTAATCTTTAGTATTAAGTCTGGCCTCAATAAATTTTTTGTGACGGATATTTATTTTAGTAAACACTAGCCTGCGCAAGACGAGGCTCCGTGGTGCGGATGAGAAACCGTCGTAGAAGAAGCGGAGAAGAATACTCAGAGTGGTCAAGCTTCAATGCGCAACCACGTGGAACTCCATGAAGGGCACGTGGACATTCTGTAGAAGACGCGCATCAAACCATTTTCCAAAATCGAATGAAATGAAATGCACACAGCCGTCAGTCTACTGCGTGCAGTTCAGGTCGGACTACGACGCACGGCTGGCGAATGACTGATGGACATAAAGAGATATGAAAATTTGTATAAGCTAATAAATCGCATGTCACAAACGAGCGTAGGCGTAGAAAGTCCAGAAGATGGCGATACTCTTTACGTAATGAAGAAGCACCAGTCTCTTGTTTAACAGTTATCAAATATGGGTTTACAAGTAAAGTGCTAGGTTCCTACACTGCCTGTAAGAATAAAACAATCGTCTGTCACTTGTCTATAACTCACAAGGCGGCGTTGCATCCACCCCTAGCTTCCAGTGTTCTACAACTAGTCGTACGGATTTACTTTGCGAAAAAAATCTTATTGCGCTAACAGCATTGTTATTACTTTGTAGACGGTTAGGTATTTGAAAGTCTGGTCGGCGCGGTAGATCTTC